AGTTGAGCACTAGTAGCAATCGCAGTGCGTTTTTTCTCTTTCGAAGTCTCTGAATGTGTTCAGCATTCGGAAAAGTCTTTCAGAAAAGGGTCAGCGAATCCAAAGGATGAGCGTTACTTGTATATAGCTAGTTTTTAAAAAGAGGATTTTGGTAAATCTTTCTTAAGCAATACCATGTGATTTTTAAATATAATTACACAAGCTGAAGAGTATACAGTTCTGTACGACGCGAGTTTAAGCAATGGTCCCAGACACTACGAAAGATTTTCTATATGATATATTCAAAGCAGAGCCTTCCTCAATCTTGACAGGTTATCAACGAGAAAAATAGTTTTTCACGGAAGTTTTTACTTTGGAAAAGCTGATATTGTTCTTTTAAAAGAAACTTTTGAATAAATAGTCACGAGGAATTCAAACATAACGGTTGCTGCAACAACTATGACTTTCCTTGTCCATTCTTGTCACGTACTCTTATTATAATTAGATTTTTCAGATGAAAATTGAATTGCTTTTCGGTGTTTGAACTCGGATGAACAATTCTGAAATGTTCATTTGAAACATTCAGGTCAAACATCTGCAATTTTAATCGCAGGATACCATTTAAGAAGATAACAAAAGTGTTATCAAGTTGTCTAAATATGATAGAATATTCTCTATAATTAATGAAATGATAAAAACTAAACTACAAGAATAAAACGTTTGCTTTTTAATTAAGTTTTGCAGACGTCTATAATATAAGTAAAAAGCTTTAGTTTATTGCTAACATATTCAATCAAATTATCCATTAACACAGTAAAGCTAACGAATGTGATAATTTGATCCCAACTCGTGACTTACTTACTTTGAAGTTATCGAAAAACAGATTCAACGGTGGATTCTTGTCTTAAATGTATTCCAGATGTCAATACGTTTAAACCTTAATATACGTATTTCTCAGTTAATGAATGACGAAAAAACGAACACACGCCTGAGTTACAGATACCTTCTATTTCATTCAATATCTGCATAATATAGAACGTAATTTGTAAAATACACCGTAGCAAATGCTCCACGTCACATATGACATCATCAGAAACTTCAGTGCATATCTGTGACGAATACGAATGTCTTATCGAAGATTTATTACCATTGTATAAAACAAGGTTTTGTCATACAGTATCAAAAAGAGCGAGAGCGTGCTTCCTCTTCTCTATTATACTACATAGAAAGAATTTTTTTAAAATATACAAAAGGAAAATAAAATATTCTTGTCGGTACTTTTATCGCGCCTGAAACAGAAAGATAGAGATATAAAAGCACATGCATGAAGTGATTTACTGATAAATTTTGTATATTTTGGCAAGCCATCTACAATATACTACCATAAATACTATCAACGAATTTCACATTCTTGATATACAACGACACCATCATGACTACAAACCGTGCGCTCTTTATTGTCACCGTTCCCATTGAAGAACAAGAAGAGATACATGTAAAAGTTCACCTTTTTATGTTTGAATATAGAATTGTGAAAGCTTTTCGTTCATTATTAGCATTCCCAACTATCATTATCGGCTAAATTGAAACACTTTCTCGACACGAACATCAATGATGAACCAATATGGATACCATCAACTGATCAGAAAACTGTTCAGGTGACATTTCATGCTGAGTTTGGTGTAACAAGCGATCGGATTTTGCGAGATTTGTATAAGCTCGAAATTGGCTACCGATGTGGCAGTCAGGTGTGTGTCATTCCTGCAACAGTTCTTGCCGGATCTCGTAATAAAGTATCGAATATTACCTTGGCTGATGACGTGCCAAGCCAAACTGATGATACGAATCGCCTCGTCCTTTCACAAAAACCGTCTTCGGATTCAACCTTTGGAACGAGAATTTGGAAGAGTTTCAATGAATCAAATTTCAAGAAAAGTGTTCAAGCTAGACTTATGGTCCATCAGGTCATAGCTGGGATTCGTGATGCTAGTGTCTTGTCGTTTGACTTTGTCTTACTACTCAGTTTGGCTTCGATGCTTGCTGCCGTTGGTCTTCTGGAAAACTCGTCTGTGATTCTCGTGGCTAGTATGTTAGTGAGTCCGTTGATGAATCCAATTATGGGTATTGTATTTGGTGTATCTATTCACGAGAAATCTTTATGGCGGCAAGGCGTTCAAAATGAGTTGATTGGTCTAATTCTCTGTATCCTATGGGGTTTCTTCATCGGGTAGGTAAGCTGTCAAAAGAATGATATTGTTCGATTCAATCGATTTAGATTGTGTACAACTCATGCCGAAACTAATTGGGGAAGTTCGTCGAGTTTCCCAACACCGGAAATGAAAGCTCGCGGAGACCTTAAAAGGCTGTGGGTGGGTGTTCTTATCGCTTTACCCAGCGGTGCTGGCGTTGCTTTATCTATACTCGGCGGCAATATAGGTAAGAATGAGTATAGCAGAATCGTAATTTTGTAATTTTATCTTGGCGATGATAGGCTCATTAGTGGGTGTGGCAATATCTGGTATGTGAACTTTCCCATTAATAAATAGATTTATTCAACAAGCATGTTTAGCTTCTCTTCTACCTCCCGCAGTCAATTGTGGACTTTTGTTTGCCTACACAACTTTTGCTCAGAGAGTATCCAACGGTATGTGGGGTTATGCAAACGAGAAACTAAGCGAGCAAGTCCATACGGAATATTTTTTGTTTCAACAGCGTCTGTACCCGAATGAGCCCATTGTTAATTGCACTAGACCGATTCACAACCGTTATGAACCATACTATTCGTGCGACATGACATACGAAGCAGCCATACTTGGTACGTGCAGTTTTCTGCTAACTTTGGTGAACATCGCTTGTATTATTATCATGGCGCTGATTATCCTTCGCATTAAAGAAGTTGTGCCACTTCACCAAACCAATGAAGCAATCCAGGAGTTCTTTAAACATGACGTGAAAATGATTCGTGACCGAAATCGACTTAGTCTTACAGGACAAAGCCGAGAGAACGGAAACGATTTTGCATTATCTAGCGAGCAAGACGGCGGACAGTCCGTAGATACGCGAGAGGCAAACTCAGGAGCAATCACTACGACACTAATCAATCTGGATGATTTGCAGACGTATGTGAAAGACTTCGGGCTCGATATTTTCAATACGAAAGACCGAGAACTGCTCACAAGAGAAGGTGAAGAGAAAGTGTCCTGCTTTGTGAAATATCTTCTCGATATGTATGAAGAAGATCCACCGATGTTTTCGGACATCTGTCATTATCAGCCATATGGTGATCCAACATCGACACAGAAAGAATATGTCATCTTCTATGAACATCTCATCAAACTTTTGCCGTCAAAATGGTATGATCTGTTCGAACGTGAGCGGCGTCGACGCTGGGACATCATTCATCTAGGCAAACAACGAGCCCATACATTTACTGCGCCGATTGTTTCATTTCCAGCTCATTCTCGATTACATCAATCACTCAACGAACGACACAAACGGTCCACATTGAGACGTGTACAAAAAAATGAGTCATTCAGAGAATTTCATGGTACGCTTCAATCTAACGTCGAACAGGATCAAAGAAAATAAAGTAACTGAATTTATCATCTGCATACATTTTACTCCTGAAGAAAATATAACATGAAAGAAATCCATTGTGGGTGTGTTGTTTTATTTTCATCCTCATCCCATTTCAGTATAATACATAATCGTTTATCAATGCTTGTCTGTCGAAAAGCATTTTTGTACACAGTTGACGGATAAATAAACAGAAAAAATGTTAAGACTTCAGGAATATGCGTGATGAGATACATGGCAAGTATAAGATATCGAAGCCACATGTTGTACCATTGATCGCAATCGACAGCGAAAACAATGATGAGTTGTGGTAAGGTCGAAGCGATCAGTACGAACGGACAAATCAATTGATCTTTGCATTGTTGTATTTGTTCGCAGAATGTAATCAGAAATGACTGTTTGTGAACTGATGATTTACTTTGTGCTACAGTTCGAAGAGTCATGCAAAACGACCAAACATAGATCGCAAATGATACTAAGTGATGAACAAAATGTAGAATCGTGTCCATACTGTGACAATCTATGATTGTACACTTCTTCTTTTTCCTTAAGCACTGATGATGACCTTGCTATACGTTTCTTTCCTCTTCCCCGATTCTCTCTTCATCTCTCATCTTCTTCCTTCCTGCTTGCGCTCAAATATTAGCCTTTTAGCCGATGCACTTTATAGAGAGATATTGTTGACACATCTATCTCTACCTCTAATGTGACATCGATACTATACTTTTATCTTGACCTACAGTGTGACATCGATATTACACTTTTATGTTTATCTCTAGTTAGCCCTAGATGTTGCACTTTTATGTTTATCTCTAGTTAGACATTGATATTATATTGTTGTGTTTACTTTTAGTTAGAGCTGGATATTATACTTTTATCTTATTCCCAGTGTGACATCAAACTAGATTTTAGAGACTACCTATAAAGATTGATGTTTTTTGTAACGCGATACTGTATTTACCGAGAACTATAAAAGGATGAGGAAAATACAGTATCGGGGCGATTTCTTTGGATTAAATAAAAGACACATCAACTACATATCATCTCTTCCATCAGAAATCGTCACAATTGGCGACCCTGTCTACTCGAACCTTACTCCTGACATTCGTTAATTTTATCGACTCAATACTTTGTATACTTCTTGGCTATGGCAAGTACGGAAGAAAAAAAAGTACCGATTGAAAAAGTCGCTCAAGTTACTTCGGACACTTTGACTCAACATGCAAAAGAAATCCACGATCTCCAAGAATCTATAAAAAGTCTTCAATCTCAATTACCAGAAGACATTCAAACCTGCCAGGATGTTTTCAACAAAGGATTATTATCGACTGAAACTAAACTAAAAGCTGACATACATGAACTGAGAGAAATGGTCGCAGACATTCAACAACATTTTACCTCACCCAATCCTGAATCTTTACCTACTACAAAGGTCAATCATCATACCCCTACGGTACCCACACGTCAATCGACTGATCTGAATACACCTTCTACCCATTACATCTCACCTGCAACTCTGGGCACACAAACTATTGTTGTTCCGCCTATCTCTTCCTTTCCAACATTTTCGGGAAAATCAACGGATAGACCGAGGCAATTCTTATTACGTGTCATAGAATATACACGAACTATTCATAAATGGTCTATTAACACGTTATTGCAGGGAATTTCTCAGTTTCTAAAGGATGCAGCTCTCGAATGGTATTGTCAACTCTATAATACAAATAGCTTACCCGAAACGTGGGACGAGTTTGTCACACAGTTTCTGGCACAATTTCATTCACCACTTCGCATCGCACAACAGGAACACGAATGGGACGAATGTAAACAGCAAGAAAATGAAACAATTAATGAGTTCGTTGTTCGCCTCCGTTCACTTTGGCTTGAACAGAAACCTGACGAAACTGAAATCGATTTTATCAAACATCTATTCTGCAAAATGAGACCTGATATGCTAACACTCATGAACGCTAATCGTTCACAAACTCTATCCAACATTATCACGGAAGCTCAACAAGTGGAAGAAATATTAT